TGATCGAACTCTCACGAACCCTAACACACGGTTTCGAACAAACGTTCTTTTCTATTAACTTCTTCCCCTCCAAAAACAATGAGGGAAAATCCCTATTTATAGATCCTAATTACTACTAATTCTAATCTACCTAGGAAACATATTAAAGTAATAAAATATTAAATTCCTAAGCATTCTAGATACTATTGTGCAAGAAGGAAACTAAATATATCAAAGTCCTAAATTGACTATATCTTGATCTTGCTTGGCTTGCACTCCAAACAAATCCAACTCATGCGCCCCAAGTACTCGGCCGCCTCACACGCACGACCGCCTCTCGCGTTGCCTATTCCTCGTCGCGCGCGGCTTCGCGCGCGCGCGCCTCGCACGCGTCATCCCTCGCGCCGCCCTTGCCTTGCCTAGTCCCGCGCGGACTAGACTTCTCGCGCCTGCCCGTTACGCGCGCGTCTCCTTGCGCGCTACTCCTTCGCGACCGTCCTTGCGCGTGCATGCGCCCAGCCCCTCCTATTCCTTCAGCGCATAGGCCTGCGCTCGCGCCTATCGCCCACTCGCGCGCTATCGCGCGCCCTTCCCCTCGTCCGCTATTCTCGTGCGCGTCCGTCCCGCCGCTACGTAGTCCTATGCCCTCGCGGTCTCGGACGCCGCCCGCGTGGTCCTCACCCGTGCGCCCAGCTCGCCCGCGGTTCGCTGCCCGCGCGTACCCCGCATCGCCCGTGACCTGCTCGCCTACCGCGCACCCGTGTACATCCGTGTATACGCGCGTGCTGGCCACCCGTCGTCGCGCATCACCGCCCGATGCGCGTCTCTCGCCCGTTCGACCCTCGGTCACCCCCGACCATCCTTCGGCCTCGATGACCACTTCCGTATCAAGTGGCCTGCGCGCGCACAAGGCAGCAACGTGTGGGCGCGGGGCAGCAGGGCAGCGCGCGCGGGCAGCGTGCCAAGGGCGGCTTGGGCTTACTTCGAGTGCAAGAAAAGTTCAAGATCCCTACTTATTTAGTTTCCTTAATGCTCTATGATATCTAGATTAGTTAGGACACTTAATATTTTATTGCTTTATTAGTTCCCTAAGTAGAATAGACTTAAATCTAGTTGGTGCCTATATAAAGGCCCTTCCCCTATGTTATTTTGAATCATTCATTTATCCAAGAAGTCAATAGAAATCTAGAACTTTGTTCTTCCAACTTTGCTTTAGTCTTTTCACCAGAATACTATTGCAATTTTATTGTTTCAATAGGCGCGGTTGTGGCTTGAGAAACACTATCGGCGATTCAAGGCGCGGGTTCGCGGCTTATCGGCAATCGAAACACACGATCCTCATCATTGGTGCTTTCATTGAGAGGTGTTGATCGTGTGTTTTTCTTCTACCCCATTCCCTTTCTTTTTCTCTTCTTTTTTCGTCCCCCCTATTAAAAAGAAAATCTTTTTCTTTTGTGAGAGAGCCGTGAAGTTCAATTATTAAAAAATAAATAAAATCGTGAGGTTGTGCGCTCGTGAGAGGGGCTAGCAGATTAAAAAAAAAGTTGAGGAGAGAATCCATGGAGGAATACTTGAGATGGGAGGAAGAGAGGTTTGAAAAGGTGGTGTGTTCGACCAAGGGAAGGAGATTGACGGTTTGTGAACGAATGTTCTTGGACGATTGGTATCGCCGTCAAAACCCTAAAAGGCCGAGGTACGAAAGGTGGAGACGGGAGCTGTCAACATTTAATGGAGCTGACCCAGACGCATGGCTCAAGCAAGCTCTTGCATATTTCATCCTCGAAGATCTACCAATGAAGGATTGGGTAAAGTACGCTTCAGATTATTTTGACGAAGGGGCCAAAGCTTGGTGGAAATGGCTCTGCCACAACCGCCGCAAACCAACTCGATGGGAAGATTTTGAGAAGGATCTCATCGCACGGTTCAAGACCTCGATCTATTGCCATTACGACGAGGCTCCCTCGCATAAATTGAAGAGAGGCAGTTTGCCTAATTACCAACAGGAATTCATGGGCCACACCCAAGTCAAGAAGGATATGCGAGCAAGTAGCAAGGCCCAAGGCGAGTCCAAGAAGGAGACGAAGGTCGAATTGGTCGAGCACGATAAGTGCAAGACAAAAATTGCGATCGAACAAGACACGCACGAAGTCAAGGTGGTCGAAGCTCCAAGGCTCGAGGAGGTTTCGGACGTGGCTAAGGTAGCCGAGGTTGAGGTAACTGAGGTTGAAGAGGAGGTGTTGGTCACGGTCGAAGCGGGCCATGAAGAGGTTATGTTTGAAGTCCTAAAGGTCAAAGAGGAGGCGATGTTCCAACCGACTATCGATGCCAAGAGTAAAGTCTTGGTCAAGGAGGGACGTGAGTGGGATGCGTGCGCAGTTAAAGAAGGAGTGCCCGAAGTTTGGATGTTCTATGATAAGTCCTTGAGGACAAGGACATTCTCAAAGGGGGCGGGAATGATGCGGAAGTGGGTTTCGAGCCCCGACGACAAGAAGGTCCAATAGCAGAGAAGGCTCGAGAAGGCCGAAAAAATGGCCTAAACTACGCATGCGTGGCCTAAGCGACGTGCACGAGCCCGTATACGAGGATACCAACATGCACGATGGCATAGGAGGTCGAGCAAGAAGCTCAAGAGATCGAGGCTTGAAGGCTCGGGTGACGCGGTCGACTGTTGCAAGGCGTGCACAAGGGAGCAACGCGCACGACGCTTGGAGGCTAAGGCCTCGGGCGTTTACTTTACGGAAGAGACGATCGGTGCGCGAGGGGCGGATGTTGGGTGGACAGCGTGCACATGGGATGGTCGTGAGCAGGCGAACGTGCAAGTGGTAACAAGCGCAAGAGCATACGAGAAGATGATCCCGGGACGGGCAATAATCGAGTGCAAGGAAGGGCGCGAATATGCGCATTAGCGTAGACGTG